AAACTTTAGGAGATGGGTGCTAGTGGGAGGTCTTTAGGTCACTCAAGGGTGTGTCCTGAAGGGGATGTGGGGACCTCAGCCCCCTCATGGCCATGAAGTAGGCAGTTTGCTCTGCCACACCCCTGCCATGATGTGCGGCCTCACCACAGGCCCAATGCAACGGGGCCACCCCATCACAGACTGGGAGCTTTATAACTATGAGCCAAAGCAAACCTCTGTTTTTGTTTTTGTAAACTGATTATCTCAAGGATTTTGGTGTCATGACAGAAAGCTGACTAACATAGGGAGGAATCTCAAAGGTCCTAAAAGCCGCTACAGTGAATTAGGCAACCTCAAATCAATCTCTGCCTCAAGAGTATCTTCGCCTCACTGATGAGGCAAGTTAGGTTCAGAGAAAGGAGGTGCAGGAATCCAGAGTCACACAGGTACTGAGAGGCAGTGTCAGTCAGGGACAGTGCCCGGGGTCTACGACCACATCTTTCCTTTATACCTGGGCTGGTTGGGAATGAAAAGAAAGGTGTCCCGTGGATGTTCCGCTAAATGAAGCCCAGGTATCTGACCAAGTTAGGCCCTCCAAATGGGAGGCAGTCTTGGGACGTATTTCTTACCTGACGCCTTCTTCCTGGGCCCACCTAACCTCCCCTAACTGTCCTGCAGTCAGTCAGCTGTTTTCCCAAAAAGAAAAAGCCCACCTCTTCCTTTTTAGAGAGTCCCATCTGGGCTTCTTGAGATGGTTTCAAGGTGACCTTTAAGCTGTTTCTTTCTTCTCTCCTTTTGAAAAAAAACAGGAGAAGCCAGTTCTAGTCTCATTTGTACAGGAAACTAATTGCTGGATCCAATATCCAACCATGTGAAGTGGTAGTAATGACCCTATTTCTCCTAGTCATAGACTTGTTCTAAAGAGGAAATGGCAGGACACACCTTACAAAGACCAAAACTAAAAAGCTATAAGATGTAAAGGGACAAAAGAAGTCTTTTTTTGTCCCGGGTCAGGACACAAGATGAATACCTGCTTTATGGGCTCCTGAGCCTCTGCCAGGAGTTCCAGGTCAGGAATATGGGCAAACAACACAGGGGGGCTGCCAGCGGTGAGCTGGGTTACCGTGAGTTCTCGGAGGAACAAGCACGCCCTGGGAGTCAGATGAACTGGGACAAAGCAGAATTCATGCAGAAGCCAAACCACAGTGTGCAGAGGCGGGGGTTGCGGGGGAGGAGCAGCTACCTTTAAGCCTCAGGTACACTCTCACAGTTCTCCCAATAGTCTAAATCTCCTTCAGGCCACTAGCCCTCCCCACGCAGGAAAGACAAAAATCTCTGATGGGTGCGGGAAGAGAAAAAAAGCTCAGAGAGAGGGGAAATGATTTGCCTAATGTCGCCCCAGATCCCAGTGAAAAGAGAACCCAGAGGCATCCATTACTCTAGAACATTAGCTGTGCCCCCCGCCCCCCCGCCAGCAGTCTCTGCAAGTGCCTCCTAGAAGCTTTGCTCTGTGATCAGAATAGGAAGGAAGACTGCACACAGCACTTTCCATTCTTACAAGGAGGGGTAACTTGCAAGGGAGGCACCTGCCACAGCTGACAAAATGAGGGCTCCAACATAACTCCTACCCACGCTGGGGTGTCGAGAGAAAAGGCAAGACCCTAAAATAAGCTCCCAGACACTTGGGTATCTGACACTGCAGAGGGAGCATGGTCTCAACACCATATCCCCCAAGGCAGTTGGTGCCATCTCCCCTCCTCCAAGACCAGCTTGACCAGCAAGGCAAGGCAGCTCAAGAGAAAGAATAAAGTAAGCTGGACAGGCACCAAACCCTGCAACTTTATGGAAGGACATCCAATGGCAGTCTAGAGTTGAGATAGCTGTGATCTTCTAGCATTAGAGGAAGACTGGAGGAGTCAGGGAGGCAATTAATTGCCTCAGGTGGTAAAAATAACGAACATGGTAGCTGCTGCTCACGGAGTGCTCCCTGTATGTACAAAGCCAGCTTTGTGCATACTAATTTATATCATCATATCAGTACACTACAGATAAATTATATTACTGCCCCATTTGGGGGGGTATTTGTTTGGGTTTTGGCCTTTTTTAAGTGCTGGGAATTGAACCCAGGGCCTTGTACATGTTAGGTAAACGTTCTACCACTGAGCTACATCCCTAACCCTTATTTCCTATTTTATGCCTGGGGAAACTGAGACTCAGGGACCATTAAGTGGCAGTGTGGTAGCTGAATTCTACACTTCAACCGCAATTCTAATCTCAGCTCTACGCTGCAAAGGTGGGGGAGATGAGCTTTCTGAGCTTTTCACCATCTGAACAGGGATCCCTTTTTTTTTCCCCTGTGGTACTAGAGATTGAACCTAGGGCCTCCTGCATGTTGGGCAGGCACTATTCCCAGTCCTTTTTATTTTATTTTGAGACAGTCTCACTATATTACCCAGTCTAGCTTTATAGTTGCAATCCTCCTACTTTAGCCTCCTGCATAGCTGGGATTACAAGTATATGTTTCCACTCCTAGCTGAACAGGGACCCTTGAAGTCTTTTGGTCACCTTTCCCTCTATTCTCTTCCTCAGGGTGGCCAGATGCTAGGGCTCTTTTATTTTCCCAAGTCAGAAAAATACTTTTCCAGCCACGCATGGTGGTGCACATCTGTAATCTTGGCACTCTAGGAGGCTGAGGCAGGAGGATCACAAATTCAAGCCCAGTCCAGCCAACTTAGCAACTGAGACCCTATCTCAATAAATAAATAAATAAATAAATAAATAAATAAATAAATAAATAAATAAATAAATAAATAAATAAAAGGGCTAAGGTTTTACTGTAAATGGCCTGGGTTCAACCACAGTCAAATCAAAAAAAAAAAAAAAAAAAAAAAAAAGAAGAAGAAGAAAAAAGAACAGCAATTTTAAAAAATGTCTTTCCAAGCCAAAGACACAGACTTTTTGGAACTGCAAAGGTCACCATACCCAGCCTCTTCACTTTACAGTGGAAACACTGAGGCCCAAGGCTGAGTGACTTGCCTGGGTTTCCAGAGGCAGTGGAACAGCAGAAATGTCAGACCTGCAATCGGCCCCAAAGATCACCTGCAGGGTAGGGAGGCATGACTGCCCAAGGTCACAGAAAGAGGGATGAGAAGCCAGGTTTCCTGATTTCTAGACTGATACTTTGCCCCAGGACCATCTCTGCTCTCCAGCTGCATGGGGTCCAAGACACAGCACTCTGATGGTGACAAAGCAGGCCAGGCACAGCCTGATCCCCTTTGGACTAGAGACCTCAGGCCTGCCTGGAGAAACTTCAGACTGCCCGAAGTGGGGTCTTTGTGGTCATGCCTTCATCCTCCCAGCAGGCACTGAAACCCTCTGCATGTACCAGCCCCCGATCCCTAGTACAAGGGCAGATACAGTTGGGAGGTAAGGGGTTGGAGGGAGAAGGCAATTTATAGATAGCACTTGTGAGGTGTCTTCCTGGTTTCATACAGGCAAATGACATACCATGGTCACTTCACATTCTTACACCAAATTGAGACATAATGTTTCATGACTCAACTGATACAGTCAAATAGCGGTTAAGATTCTTGCCATTTCACAAAAGGGAGATCTACAGAAAAGGCCCCAGCTGTTCAAGGTCATATATTTATGTCAGAATCAGGACACACTGTTCCCCTTGCCCAGATCTTGATTTTTTTCCCAATAAGCTGGCTACCATCAGGGTGTAGATGTGGACAGCCCAGCTTCCATGACCAGGCCCTGGCACTGTGACCGGCTCAGCACCAAAGCCCTGCACCAGGCAGCCAGCTCCTGGAGCTAGCAAAACAGAAGCACCGCTTCATTCCTGCAGCATGTCCCACAGCCTGCCTCACACCAGTCTGGCATCAGCACTCAGCTCCTGCATGTCCTTGGGAAAGGTGCAAGGCTTCCAGCCAACAGCCTCAAAATCCCCAAACCCAAATCTCCAGGCAAAGAGGTGAATAGAGTCCCAGGACCTTGAGCCTTCCACAGCTAGCGAGGGGTAGGCCAAAACAGCAAAGGCAGCTTGCAAAACCTCTTGGACACCACTGCCAGGGGCTTCTGGGCAATGCAGGCTCAGCTGAGCTCCAACCCAACAATCACCCAGCAGAATAGGGTGGTCAGGTTGGGCAGGGAGCCCAACCCTCTGGGAGGGAAACAACTTTTTTATTTGCTTATCCCAAAAAGAATATTTCAAAGTCTCTTTGGAAAACCCCCTAGCCCTTCTCCCTGTACCTCTCCTACTTGAATGAGTAGTCAATGTCACTGGTCAGACCAGACAGCACCTTGAGACACAGCTGGGTGCCAACCTTGGGTCAGACCTAGCTTCCACCTCCTCCAGCCTACCACCACCTTCAACACAACCTTCAGAAATTCCCATGAACTGTGTAAAGGATGACATTCCTGGGCTGGATACTGACTCAGGGGTTTCTAACCAGCCTAGGCAGACAGAAATGGTAGATAACATTGTGGAGATGAAAAAGGGTGAGGCTATGGGGTCCCTTGGGCTCCACCACACTCATAAGTCTCCTGCACCCAGATCCCTGCTATACCCAAGCTCCTCAGACAGACCAAGTAAAACTACAACCAGAACACCCTCCCAAGAATTAGGTAATAAACTGCACTGGTTGCTGTTGACAGAGCAGAAAGTGCCACTTGCTAGAAGATGCTCCTCTCTGTCACACATAGCTGGGTGCCTGGCTCCCCTCTGGATCTGGCCCAGCCAGAGGAGACCTGCCAGGCCTGGAAGCCTTGCTGTAGGTACACAGTATCAGAACCATCTGAATCCTGCTCTCTCTCTCCTATCCATGCCAGCTTCAATCTTGGGACACCTCAGACCACAAAGGACACAGCAGAAGTTTCAGAAAGACCAAGATGGCAGGGTGGAAGCTGTCTATGGGACAGGAGTCGTTCAGCCCCTTAAACTTGGACAGCCTCGACGGGGCAGGAAGATCGCCAGTCTGGTGGCAGGACAGTAGCATCAAGCAAACCACACTTACCTATCTTCATGAGGCAGGCGAGCAGGATCCAGAGGGAAATCTCAAAGGGTGTGCGCACGTGTTTGTAGTCGATGCCCAGGACGGGAAAGGCCTTTCGATGCTTGGAGCCATGTTCCACGGAATGGTTCTCAGGATGGCTCCCTAAGTGGTGTGTCGTCTCCGGTGGGGCGGTAGTGACATCCCCAATCGAGCGTTCCCGAGGTGGCTCAGACCCGGGGATGGTGCTGGCAGTGGGGCTGAGGACCGGTAACAGGCCCACCAAGGCAACCATCACCAGCAAGGAGGGGAAGATCCGAGGCAGGGACAGCCCCCAAATGCCAGACCACCGAAGCATCCTGCTGCTCCCCCAGCCCGGCAGGCCTCAACCCTTAGTGAAGTGAGAGCAAGATCTGAGACATAGGTAGCAGGGGCAGTAGGTGGGAGAAGAGACGGGAGCAGTCTCTAGGAAAAGTCCATGTTTTAGAGTGGTACTTTCCTGCAAGTAGTCCTTTAGGGGTGGAGGGAAGCTGGGTTCACAATCTGAAACTCCAAACTAGGGAAGTAGGAAAAAAAAAAAAAAAAAACCAGAACGGACCACGGAAGACCAAAGGGTCTGGAACTCCAGATCGGAGACAGCACAATAGGAGAGAATACACCTAGAGACAGAGGAAGGGTCAGGACAAGCGGGACCCAAGACGAGGAAAAGGAAGAGAAAAGGATGGGAACTTTGACTGAGGAAAGTGACCGGGGCGCTGGGACTCGGCAAAGGGAAGGTGGAGGGAGCCTGCGCTAAAGGAAAGGCAACGAAGCGGGTGAGACCCGGTCCAGGAAAGGAGGGAGGGGGCTGGACGCCCAGCCTGGAAGGAAGGAGTGAAGCGGGAAAGCGGCCAGGAGCTTCCACACCCAAAGGAGGGCCGGGGTCCAGGTGCGCCGGGCTGAGAATCCGGGGAAATGGAGGGTGAAGGGAGGCGGAAGGCAGAGGCAGACGGCCTGGCGGGAAGGCGCTTCGGCGCGGGCTGGGGGCGGCTCGCGGCAGGCCGGCAGCAACACGCCCCTCCTGGCGACCCCAGCAAGGCGCCACGCTCCGCCCGGCCCTGCTGAAGTTCCTCTACGACCTGCTCCAGCTCCACGACCCACCCTAGCCTGGGCGGCAGCGGACTGATGCCTCGCTCAGACCAGCGCTGCCACTTATAGGCACCAGCGAGCAGCCGGGGCCGCGGGCTAGAGGAACCTGTCAGCGCCCGCCGAGCACAGCGGCCCCTGTCGCCCAGGAGAGGAAGTCTCGCGAAGAAGAGGAAGTCGAGTCAGAGATGGCACCAAAAAAAAAAAAAAAAAAAAAAAAAGTCTTTAATCTGCGGAGAGCCTAACAAGAGAAAAAAACTGTTTACAAACAGCTTTTATATCCACATTTGTAGTCTTATAAAGGCTTCCCAGTAATTCTACGAAGGTTATAGTCTTATGTATAGTCTTCATGTACCATGTAACCTTGAAAAACTTAAAACTTAGCCTCTCTGTTTCACAGCTTGCTTGCTTTCTTTTTTAAAAATAAAGGTATTCAACAGAACTGTTAACATGCATTTTGCCTGTCTTAGCCAACCAGAATTATATTCTAGGTGTTTGAATTTCAAAAAAGTATTTTCCATTTCACAAAGTTTGTAAGAAATACTGAAGAACATAAAAATTTAATTAAAAATTTTGAGTTTTTTTTTACTGTTACCGTGTATTCCAGGTTCAGGGTTCCACAAACGCTGATGAAGTCACCAAACCAAAGAAGGACGTTAGGAAAGTTTTATTGGAAGAAAGGAGTAGGAGAACAGCTCCTGGAGTTCCAGGAGGGTTCCCAAATGGGGTGACCCTGTTTCACAGCTTTCTTAGCTGTATAGTGGAGATAATACTGTAATAGTACTTCTATGAGAGCAATGATGTGATCTATGTAAAGGGCTTAGAATGCACCCTAGCACATGACATTACACACTGCATTTTACAGAGGAGCAAATAGGTGGAGACTTTGCTACCGTGTAAGTAGTGTATTAGTTTGCTAGGAATGCTGTCCCAAAGTACCATAAACTTGGTGGCCAAAACAACAGAGATGTATTGTTTCATAGTTCTAAAGCCTGGAGGTCTAAGATCGAAGTACTGGCAAGGTTGGTTTCAGCTGAGGGTTGAGAGGGAGAATCTGTTCCAGACCTTTCCTCTACCTTCTGGTGCTTAGCTGGCAATGTTTGGCCTTTTTGATCACGGTAGCATAACTCTAATCTTCACATGTAGTTTCCCCTGGGTCAGGATCCTAATTTGCCTTTTTATAAGGATACCAGTTGGATTGGATTAGGGGTACACCCTAATGATTTCCTCATAACCTGACCATCTTCAAAGACCCTATTCAAATAAGGCCACATTCATAGGCACTAAGGGCTAGGACTTCCATTTTTTAGGGGGGTAGGGGGTGGTTGTACAATTCAACCCACAACAGTAATAGAACTGAGTTAAACCTATGGTGATGATGATGGCTGCATGGTAGAGTCATCATAAACCTTTTAAAAAAATATCTTTACAACTGGGCATGGTGGCACATGTCTGTAATCAGCACTCTTGGAAGCTAAGGTGGGAGAATCGCAAGTTCGAGTCCAGCCTGGGCAGCCTTTAGTGACTTGCAAGACCTTGTCCCAAAAATTAAAAAGGGCTGGGCAAGTAGCTCAGAGCTGGCAGCAAGTGCTTACCCCTGTTGTAAACGTCTCTCATTCCCGCCCTGTCTAGGTTGGAGGAGACTCTGCTCTTTCTGTTGGGCGTGTGGAGTCACTGGATGTGGTCCCTGGTCCTGGACGGAAATGCTCCCTTTCATCCTCTCTGGCCTCCCATCGCTCCCTGTCAGGGAGTCCTTCCTGCTGTCTGACTTGAGTTTGGGCTGAGGCAGCAGGGAGGGAGGGGCCCCCTCAGCTGGGACACCTTGTGAGAGGGCCCCAGGAGATGTGTGAGGGGCTGAGCCTGGGCTCTCAGAGTGTCTCGAAATTAAAAATTAAAATAGTTAGATATGTAGTTCAGAACAAAAGCTCTAAATTCAATCCCCATTTAAAAAAAGAAAAAAAAAGAAGAAGAAGCCAGGCATGATGGCGCATGCCTATAATCCCAGCACTGGGGAGGCTGAGGCAGGAGAATCATTGCAAGTTCGAGGCCAGCCTGGGCTACAAAGTGAGCTCAAGGCCAGCCCGAACAGCATGGTGAGACCCTGTTTCAAAAAAAAAGAAAAGAGAAATACCTAAAATCCACCTTTAAAGATTTAAATTCCATTTTTCCAAGGTAGTGCCCCACTGAGTTATAAGTGTTTTTTCAAAAGCTTTCGTGTATAACTAGGGCTGAGGACCTGTTTTGTTTTGTTTCAGTGCTGAGGATCAAACCCAGGGCCTTGTACGTGGTAGACAAGTGCTCTACCACTGAGCTGCATCCCCAGCCTGAGGTTAAGAATTTTTTTTCTGGTGGTACTGGTGATTGAACCCATTCCTTCACCCTTCCTTCCTTCTTTCCTCTTTCTTTCTTTTTCTTTTTTTGTTTTGAAACAAGATTTCACTAAGTTGCTAAATTGTCAAAGCTGGACCCCAGCTTGTGCTACCATGCCCGGCTTCCAGGTAAGAATTTTTGATTTTTTAAATTTTGTTTGTTTGTTTGTTTGTTTTTCTTCTGGTACCAGGAATCAACTCATGACCTTGCGCTTGCTAGGCAGGCACTTTTGCCACTGAGCTAAATCCCCAGCCCCTCAGGTAAGAATTTTTGAAGTCATCGAAACGCAGTGATGTTTCGCAGAAGACTGAATCAACACCAAGAAAGTCAAAGTCAAGGTCACCGAAGGATCTCAGAGGATCAGTTCAGTTTAACAAGTACTTTCTGGACCTCTCAACAAAGCTCTGGCTCCAGCAACAGAGATAAGACATGGGGTGAAAAGTAATAGCGCTTAGGAAGGGGCGCAAAGCACAACCAGGGTTTGTGAGTGCCGGTTCTATTTCTCCACTAGGTGGGAGTTACAAAGGGACACGGAGACAGTTGTTTTGTGTAACTCATCCAGCACTCATGCTTCATGCACGTATCCCTGGTTGTGTTGTCCTCCATAAAGCTATATTAAACAATAGAGGGTACGATGGTAACCGAGCATGAAAACACTGAACTGAGGGGCTGGGGTTTAGCTCAGCGGCACAGCGCCTGCCTGGCAAGCGCAAGGTCGTGAGTTCGATTCCTGCTACCAGAAAAAACCAAAAAAACAAAAAACAAACAAACAAACAAAAAAAACACTGAACTGAGCTTGCTGTACCTCACATTTTCAGGGCATAGCTCCAACCACCTGAAAGATGATAAAAGGATCAGAAAAACCTTCAGAGAAAGGTAGGCCACTTCTGCAATCTGGGAGCAAATGAAAGGAGAACATTAGCACTAATGGAAGTAACCAAAGAGAACAGCATACCCAGCGTGGTGGCCCATACCTGTTGTCTCAGCACTGGGAGGCTGAGACAGGTGGATCCCCAGAGTTCAAGGTCAGCCTGGGCTACATAGTGAATTTAAGGCCAGCCTGAACTACATAGCAAGACCCTGTCTCAAAACAAAACAAAAGAGAGGAGCAGCATTTTAGTCAAGGATCAGAATGACAATAATGCCCCATAACTGTTCAGCCCTTGATAATTCAAAACCCTTTCTCCAAGGTTTATCAGTGATCCAAGTCCTGCTGCATAGCAAGAACTCAATATGTAGTAGCAAATATTCTTATCCCCCCCCCTTTTTTTGGTGTTTTTGAGACAGGGTCTCCCTATGTAGTACAGACTGTGTAGCTATGGCTGACTATGTAGCCTAGGCTGACCCAGAATTCACAGCAATCCTCCTGCATCAGCCTCACCTATGCTGGGATTACACGTGTGCTCCACCATACCTGGCTCTTATTCCCTTTTTACATATGGAAAAACCAAGGCTCAGGCATATGAAGCCATTTCCCAATATTACACAGTAATTTAGGAAACAGATCCAGGACTTAAATCAAGCTCCTAACTTTTGAGTCCAGCGCTGTTTTTTGTTTTGTTTTGTTTTGTTTTGTTTTGTTTTTCTAAAACAGCAATAGTTCCATGTGGAATAAAGAGAAGAGGGAAAGGAATGGCACCAGGGGAGGGACTTCCCACAGGTGCCTCGGGGCCAGAACCCTGAGACCTGCACCTTTCCAGTCCTGAGACCTGCACCTTTCCATGTGTGAGGGGCTGAGCCTGGGCTCTCAGAGTGTCTCGAAATTAAAAATTAAAATAGCAAGTTTCACAGATGACTTTGATCCACCCCACTCTGAATATCCTTCTCCCTAGTCCTGAAAGAGCCCTTTTGTGCCAGCCTGAGAGGTAGCAGATCTCATGAGGACCAAGAAATGTGTCTATGCTGCTACAAGGCCTGGAGAAGGTTATAAAAACATGACAATACAGTAATGCTTTGGTACCTATCCTTAATTGGCTCCAAGAGGTGTAACAAGTATCAGGTATGATGAGTATCAAACAAGTTATTTGGGTTGGGAAGGGTACCAAGTCACAAGGAATTGGCACTGACAAGTTCTAGTTTGCACGTCACATACCAAACAAAAGAGCATTAGAACAAATTTTTGTGTCAAATGGTGCTGGCCAGGCATGATAGCAGACTCCTGTAATCCCAGCACAGGGGCTGGCTGAGGCAGGAGAATCACTGCAAGTTCAAGGCCAGCCTGGGCTACATAGTGAGTTCAAGGCTAGTTTAAATTACAGACTGAGACTCTGTCTCAAAAAAAACAAAACAAGATAAAAGTATCAAATTTGACAAGTTTCAGCCAACCATAGTGGCACATACCAGTAACCTCAACATTCAGGAGGCTGAGGCAGGAGGATTACCATAAGGTCAAAGCCAGTCTGGGCTACATAGTGAGTTCAAGGCCAGCCTGGAATACATAGCAAGACCCTGTCTAAAAAAAAAAAAAGCAGAAACAAATTTGATGAGTTCAAAACAATTGAGTACCAAGGAATGATTGTACGGGGAACTAATCCTGGAGAGAAACCATCTAAGACAGCCTGTGGCTAAGGCCAATCCCCAGAAAGGCAGCAGAGTGGCCTATGGGGACAGCCACAGTGTCTAGGTGCAAATTCCAGCAGCACTTACCATAAAACTTTGAGTGAAGCAGTCCTTCTTCCACAACAGGGGGTAGCAATGGTGCCAAGCGCATGGTGCCAGAATGAAGGTGTCAGCCAGTGCACATAAAGCCCTTAGATGCACACCCAGCAAGCACCGCGTACCTCTGGC